TTTTTTTTTTTTAATAAATACTCCAAAGTGAAATTGCTAGATCATATGGTAGTTCTATTTTTAATTTTTTGAGCAATGTCCATACTGTTTTCCATAGTGTTTGTACCAGTTTACATTCCCACCACCAGGACACAAGGGTTCCCTTTTCTTCACATCCTTGCTGACACTTTTTATTCTTGTCCTTTTGGTGACAAGCCATTCTAACAGGTGTGAAGTGTACCTCACTGTGGTTTGGATTTGCATTTCCTTGTGGCTTAGTAATGTTCAGCATCTTTTCATGTATGAGTTGGCCATTTGTGTTCTCTAGAGAGAAGTGTGTTTGAGTCCTCTGCCCGTGTTTTAATTGGATTGATTGTTTTTTGCTACTGAGGTATGTGAGTTCTTTACATATTTCGGATATTAGCCCCATAGCAGATAAATGATCTGCAAATACTTTCTCCCATCTAGTAGGTTCTTCATTTTGTTGGTGGTTTCCTTTGCTGTGCAGAAGCTTTTTAGTTAGATGTAGTCCCACTTGTTTACTTTTGCTTTTGTTGACTTTGCTTTTGGTGTCAAATCCAAAAAATCATTGCCAAGACCTATGTCAGGGAACTTACTGCCCATTTTTTTCTAGGAGTTTTTATTGTTTCAGGTCTTACATTCAAGTCTAATCCATTTTGTGTTATTTTTGTGTATGGTATAAGATAGTGGTCCAGTTTCATTCTTTTGCATGTGGCTGTCCAGCTTTCCCGACACCATTTTTTGAAGAGATTGTCCTTTTCCCATTTTATATTCTTGGCTCCTTTGCCATAAATTAATTGACCACATAACTATAGGTTTATTTCTGGGCTCTGTTCTGTTCCATTGATCTATGTGTCTGTTTTTATGCCAGTACCACATTCTTCATTACTCTAGCAGCTTTGTAGTATAGTCTGAAGTCAGGGAGTATGATGTTTTCAGCTTCATCTTTCTTAAGATTGCTTTGATTGTTTGGTGCTTTGGGGGTTCCATACACATTTTAGTATCGTTTGTTCTATTTCTATAAAAAATGCCATTGGAATTTTAATAGGGATTGCATTATATCTGCTTTGGGTAGTATGGACATTGACAATTCATAAGTAAGGAATACTATTGCATTTATTTCTGTCTTCACTTTCTTGCACCACTGTCATACAGTTTTCAGTTTACAGGTCTTTGATCTTGGTTAAATTTATTCCTGGGTATTTGATTCTTTTTGATGCAAATTAAACAGTATTGTTCTCTTAATTTCTTCTATGAAACTTTTCACTGAAGACTTCTTTCAGGCAGAAAATGTAGCTAGCAGGTTATGGAAAGGTTTAGATAATCAACTCATAATGGATTACTAAGGGAAACTGGGAGGACTGGGAACCCTTCTTGGTCTTTGGGGTCAACATCATAGCCTTCCCTAACACATACCATGTTGCCCTCAGAGTAGACCCTGAGTCGTCTAGACAAGTGGGTTCATTCTTGTGTTTTCATATTTGTAAACTGGGATTTATAGAGAGGGTACCATTTAACAAAAAGGCATACATATTTTTCTGATCAAGTTTGAGGATATCCCCTATGGGGTTATTACTGTCTTTAATGTTCTGTTAACATGATTTATATACCATTCAAGATAACAATAATATATAGTTTACGTGTTCATTTTCTTACAGGTTGCAGAAATTTTATTCCAAACTGCCCAAAGTGCGGGAATCAATTTTGACACTGTGTGTGGAGTACCTTATACAGCTTTACCATTGGCTACAGTTATCTGTTCAACCAACCAAATTCCAATGCTTATTAGAAGGAAAGAATCAAAGGATTATGGTAAAATAAAAGTAGTATAAACTTTAAGTTGATATGTAACCTGATAATAGAATTTTTTCATCTTCTGGGCACTGATGTTTTACCAAAGTCACCTTGAATATTCTTCATATGAAGGTCCTTTAGAATTGGTTAACTATTACTGTTAATCACCTTCCTTTCCTTTAGATTCTAGGGGTGAAATGTTTTGTATTGACTTAACAATTTAAAAAAAATGCTTGTTTTGCCCCACATGTATGAAACCCAACATTTTTTTTTTTTTAATTTTTTTTTTTAACGTTTATTTATTTTTGAGACAGAGAGAGACAGAGTACGAACGTGGGAGGAGCAGAGAGAGAGAGGGAGACACAGAATCGGAAGCAGGCTCCAGGCTCTGGGCCATCAGCCCAGAGCCCGACACGGGGCTCGAACTCACAGACCGTGAGATCGTGACCTGAGCCGAAGTCGGACGCTTAACCGACTGAGCCACCCAGGCGCCCCTGAAACCCAACATTTTTAACCAGTCCTTCCCTTACCAGCAGAATGTTCTAAGAGATTGTACTTTCCTAATATATTTGTTTATAATTTAAACTGCATAAAGAGAAATGCCACATAAAATTCTCTAAATGAAGATATTTTTTTCACGAGTCCTTGGCAGGAGGTTATCAGGTGTGTGTTTTATACATATGAGCTTGCTTCAAAGACAAAACAATCTAGGGATGCCTGGCTGGCTCATTTGGGAGAGCATGAGACTCCTCATCTTGGGGTCTTGAGTTTGAGCCCCATGTTGGGTATAGAGATTACTAAAGAAAATAAATCAATCTAAAAATATTGGAACTGACTTCATATTTTTTCTTATTTGATGACATTAAGGAATTAATAGGTCTTTTTATGTTGGTGTGATAGTATTTTTAAGAGTCCTTACCTTTTACAAGCTGCATTTAAAAATTTTTTATGATGAAAATCATATGATATCTGGAGTTTGCTTCTAAAAATTGTGGAGGGAGGGAAGGGGGGTGGGGATGTAGCTGAAACAAGATTGACCATGAGTTAAGTGGCGAAGTATTTATGGGTGTTTGTTATACTTTTTTTCTAGTATTGTTTGAAATTCTCCATTTAAAAAAGCCTGTCTGTAGGAGTCCTGCCCATTAGGAAACTGTTTTTTGTCTTTATTATGTTTTTAAAAATATTTCTTAGAATAAGATCAGCAATTGTTAAATATGTATATAAGTATCATAGGCTTATGTACTAGTCTAAGCTGATTCAGTTCAGCTTGCTCTTTCAAGGGGAGGAAAGGAATGGGGAAGGGCAAGGATGGTACCTGTGATAAAGCTCAAACATTGGGCAAATTGCTCACCAATTCTTAGGTTTCAAAGTAAGACAAATTTGGTAGTAGCAACTATAAAATGCGTCTGTAAAGTCTATAGCCTTAGATACTTAACATTTTGTAGATTATCTGAAAGTAGTCTATAGTAGGGGTTGGAGTGGGGAAGTACATTCACTCACATTGCATTGTATATTCGTAAAGTTGTAGTGATCTAAATGGTTGCTGAATATTTTTTTTCCTGAATTTATTTCTCAAAAGGCTAGTTAGTTGATCTTGAGTAATGAACTTGTTTTTTGATGGAAGAAAAAGGAATGATTTCATTGATGGTACTGGGTTATTGTTTCATAACTTCTTGATCTAGGTAGGTTATCTTGCATTAAGAAACCCCATATTTGAAATTTTGATCATGAACATGTTAAGTGGTGTTCTATTTACACTATAAAGTAATTTGCTAGTTTTACTGAAAATATTCTATATATGTAACTTTGGCAATTTTCAGATACAGGGACACTGAACAAAATGGTGTCATGGCTCATTGAAGGTTTGTCAGGAATAAAGTTAAAGTAGCTCTGAAGTAGATTATCAGAAAATAAGATTTAGATCATCCACCTCTTCTTAAATACACGCCAAATTTATAATGTAAGATACGTCTTGAGTTGGCTGAAATGTATAATTTTAAATTGAAATAATTGTTTTTTTTTCCTAGGTACTAAGCGTCTTGTAGAAGGGGCTGTTAATCCAGGAGAAACCTGTTTGATCATTGAAGATGTCGTTACCAGTGGATCTAGTGTTCTGGAAACTGTTGAGGTTCTTCAGAAGGAGGGTTTGAAGGTCACCGATGCCATAGTGCTGCTGGACAGAGAGCAAGGAGGCAAAGACAAGTTGCAGGCACATGGGATCCATCTTCACTCAGTGTGTACATTGTCTAAAATGCTGGAGATTCTCGAGCGACAGAAAAAAATTGATGCTGAGATGGTCGAGAGAGTGAAGAGATTTATTCAGGAGAATGTTTTTGTAGCAGCTAGTCATAATGGTTCTCTCTGTTCTGTAAACAAAGCTCCCGCTCCCGGAGAACTCAGCTTTGGTGCACGTGCAGAGCTGCCCAGGGTCCACCCAGTTGCAGCGAAGCTTCTCAAGCTTATGCAAAAGAAAGAGACTAATCTGTGTCTGTCTGCAGATATTTCAGAGTCTAGAGAGCTGTTGCAGCTAGCTGATGCTTTAGGACCCAGCATCTGCATGCTCAAGACTCATGTAGATATTTTGAATGATTTTACTCTGGATGTGATGAAGGAGTTAACAACTCTGGCAAAACGCCACGAGTTCTTAATATTTGAAGACCGGAAGTTTGCAGATATAGGAAATACAGTAAAAAAACAGTATGAAGGTAAGTATTATTTAGGAATCTACAAAAATACAAATTTAGCTCCAACTGTCTGAAGAACTAAAGGAAATGCACTGGCTCACATCACAGAGTCTGGCCATAGAACGGTCTGTTAAGCGTGGTTAGATCTAGGAGCTCAAGTGCAAGTCTTTGGACTTGCCTTCTTGCCATTTTTTAGCTCTGCTTTCTTCTCTTGACTTCTTTCTCAGGTAGACAACACTCCTCATTCCTACCCCAAAGTAATCACTCAGGCCTGGGTTATAGAATACCTTTATTAGCTTGGTAATATATGCCCCACTTCTGGTGATGTGAGGTTGTTAACTATAAATTTTTTGAACCAGAATGTGGTCAAAGGTAGTTTCCCCATAGAAAATGGGTGTGCTGAGGCCAGAAGAAGGGGCTGCAGGTCCTAGGCAGACAAAAATGACAGATGTTGGCCCTGGCAGAACACACCTAGTTCTAAATATTTGAAAAATGAAAATTGCAGGTATAGGAAACAAATAGAAGTGTAAAGTTTTAACATTTGCCTTTGGCCAAAAAAAGATCTGTTGGTGTGCTTTTTTGGTTAAATAGGAACTCAAAGCCAGGTATATTGGTTGAGAAAGAAAAACTACTTCTACCCATTATTTTATGCAAGTTTCTGTCATTGTATATGACAGCTTTTTTTGTTTAAATAATAGGATAAAATGTCTATTAAAAGGTTAATGCTTATCAGCATCTTTAGAGATAACAATTTTTCTTAAAGTAATAACATGTATGTGCTTAAGCTGTTTCTTCAGGATAGATTTATGTATGACTTTCTTCCTGTGCTTTAAGGTGTTCTACTGGGGCGCCTGGGTGGCCCAGTCGGTTTAGCGTCCAAGTGTCCGACCTCAGCTCAGGTTATAATCTCCCAGTTCATGGGGTTGAGCCCTGCATCGGGCTGTGTGCTTACAGCTCAGAGCCTGGAGCCCGCTTTGGATTCTGTGTCTCCCTCTCTCTCTGCCCCTTCCCCACTCACACTCTGTGTGTCTCTCTCAAAAATAATAAACATTGAAAAAATTTAAAAGGGTGCCTGGGTGGCTCAGTGGGTTAAGTGTCTGACTGTTGATTTCACCTCAGGTCATGAGCTCAGTATTTGTGGTTGAGCCACACATCGGGCTCTGCTGACAATGTGGAGCCTGCTTGGGATTCTTACTCTCCCTCTTAACCCCTCCCCACCTGTGCGCTTGTGTGCACATGCGCACTCTCTCTCTCTCGTACATACGTGAAAGATAAACTTAAAAAAAAAAAGATGTTCTATCATCACATTGCTTAGTTTTGACTAATGTAAGAGTTATACAAACTACATGTTTACATACTGTTTTTTCAGAAATCAATTAGGGGTATTGCTGTCAGTTTTTAAAATGAATACAATTGCCTGCTGAAATTAAGAGACCTAAGGAACAAGTAGAACTTTTGAGAGATAGTAAAGTTGCTGAGAGATTCCTGCAGAATGAAAATTTGTCATCTTCAGGGGAATTTCAGAATGTTGGTATCTTTGGCCTCAAATGCCCATCTTCACTGGAGTCCCATTTCTTTTTTCTTTTTAAGTTTATTTAGTGTGTGTGTGTGTGTGTGAGTGAGAGAGAGAGCGTGCGCGAGCGAGTGGGGGAGGGGCAAACAATCCTAGACAAGGTCTGCTCTGCCAGCACTGAGCTCAACGCAGGGGTCTATCTCACGAACCATGAGATCATGACCTGAGCCAAAATCACGCATTGTACGCTTAACTGTCTGAGCCACCCAGGTGCCCCTGGAGTCCCATTTCTAATTACATAGGTTTTATTGGTGGTCAGAAGTCAGCCTGCAAGGAAAACCAGTCTTAATCAGTGTTATTGATAAACTAAGTGCAGAAATTGTAAGACATTTTTCTCATTATGATCTTTTAGCCAGCTACCAGGTGAATAGTTTTTCATAGATGGAACCATAGGTCCACTGATGAGCACTAAAATTTTTGAAGTGCTTCACTATGACATTAGCATGTTACTTTGAGATTATTTCTTACTGTAGTTGGTTGGGCAAAAAGTTAGTGGTTTTTATTTGAAAACTT